GCTGGGGACCTGCTGGTCTCACGGGGTGGCCTCTGTCCAGCTGGGGACCTGCTGGTCTCACGGGGTGGCCTCTCTTCCACCCTCGGGGCTCTGTGCCTGGTGGCAGCTGGCTTGGCTCTGTGTGACAGTTCATCAGTGAGTTTGTCCTGCTGGCCCAGGAGGGAGCTGTGAGTCTAGAGGGAAGACAAGGGTAGAGGCAGAGGGAGCCAGGGAGGGGGAGCCAGTGGGGCTGCTGGCCCAGAGGCCTGAGTCCCCACCAGCTTAGGGGCTTTGGCGGGTAACTGACTCCCTACCACTTCACACTCGCTGGCAAATCTGAGTGGCAGCAGGCTCTGCAGCAGTGACCTGGAGCCACTGGCTGTGCCAGAGACCTCCTCCCCCTCCCAGGGTACACTTGAGGGGTCCTGGAGAAAAACTGTCTTCAGTGTCAATACGAGAGAGGAAAGCACCCTTGTGCATGGTTAGTGAGCAACGCTGGTCTGTCAGCTCCCGCACTGGGGTCATATTCATCCACCTGAAGCACCTGAGAATGTACACACTGAAACCAAGGGCAGTGCCCATGGCTGCAGCAAGCCGGCTTCCCAGGGTGCAGAGCCTCTTCAAAGGAGCCACAGAGGCAGCCCAGTGCAGGAAGGGGGACGGAGAGCAGAGGGGACGTCTCCTCCAGGCAGGTCCGCAGTGCGCAGCCTCCTCGCCCGGCTCAGGGGGAGAGCAGTCAGGGGTAGTGATTAAGAAGCCTGCACTTGTTTTCAAATAAATGTTTCATGATGTGTCATCTGCTTCCAAGAGGAGCAGCAGCAGGCCACAGCCACTGCGTGCTCAGCAGTTATGCGGTGACAAAGACCGGGCTAATTATGGCAGATCACAGGAACGTGCACGCAGAGGCCCTGGAAGCTGACGGGCTTGGGGGCCGCGGAGCTGGGCTGTCCACAGGACCCCGGGGGCCGCAGTGTCAGCTTACTCTGCAGGCTCAGCTGCTGGGCTCCCTCGCAGAGTTCTACAAACACGTTTTGACAGGAACAGCACTTCTGGGACTTTCAGAGACCCGTGGCTCAGCGCCAGAGTGCAGACCCCACCTTTCCCCATCCTCCCTCTGTCTCAGAGGCATCAAACCAGACAGCAGCTAATTCAGCCAGCTTCCACCTCGAGCCGGGCCACTTCCTGACCCCTCTGTGGTTGCCCTTCCTTACATGGATTCCAAAATGTGTGCTGCGTACCTACCAAGTGTCGGGCGCTGCGTCGGATGCCTGAGAGAAAGCGGAGAGCCACCTGGCCTCCTGCAGGTGTGGCAGAGGAGGAGCCGTGAGGTGTGACGTTTTAGGCCAGGACGTGTGCAAGGACAAAGGTGAGCCAGGCAAGGGGCAGCGGAGCTGTTGCCCTGGGTGTCCAGGCCTGGGAAGAATGGCCAGCCAGGCCTCCTGAGCTTGTTGGAGAGGACAGCAGGGAGGGGGCAGGAGCCACGGGGCGTGCAGGCAGAGGCAGCTGCGGGCACAGCTTGGTGTGGAGAAACCTGGCGGTGAGGTCACAGGGACAAGGCCCGAGGGTCTGTGACCTGCGTGGGTCCTGACAAGGGCAGAGGAGCCTGTGCCCACAGACAGCAGCATCCTCCGGCTGCCGTGCAGAGACAGACACCCTGCCCACGGGGCAGTCAGAGCAGGGAGACCTCGCAGCAGCCCACGGAGAGGCAGAGCTGGTCTGGACGGGCAGCCGCCCATACCGGGATGAGAAGGGACCAGAGAAGGGACATTTCTGTGGATGTGGACGGTCAGCCCAAGAGAGGATCCGAGGAGGCCTCCGAGCCCTTTGCCCTGAGCCAACAGAGAACAAGTTCAAAGTCAGTTCATGGAAAGGAGCACATTGGAGGGATCAGGAGCCGACTTAGAGGTCTGATGCCGCTCAGCCACTGAGCGGGTGGCGAAGTGCCGGAGAGGGTCCAGGGTGGTCCAGGCCACCCCACCCAGGAGCAGGTCTGCAGGCCAGAGGGTGGGGAACGGCAAGGCACCCACGGGCACCAGGAACCCTGGGGCTCTCCGGTGTGTGTGTGTGT